TGAGTAACTAATGAAGAGATGATGCAATCAAAAGATAAGGGAAGACCATATACCTATACATACAAATACTATATGCAGTTATCCAGGTAAAGAAAAGTTAATTACATTCTCCTTCTGAGTAAATAGGTGGGGTTGAAAATGTTTGATAGCGACAGCTTCCGCAAACCGTAATAAAAGTGTTCTTTGTTTGTTGACTACCCTGAAGGATTGAGAAGCATCTGTTTATTGTCCTCTTTCCATCAAATGCCTTGCGGTTGCACTTTTAAAGACCCTGCCTTTATTCAGACACAGATTTCTTGGAATATGCTTATAAAATCGAGTAGACGCCTTTATTTCAGTCCATCCTATGTACTTGCTTCCGCAACTACAGTTGAATCGATAAACACTGTTGGAGGTGACTTGAGATGGGTATTTGTCTACTTTCGAGACTGTGTTATTGAGCATACTGTATTGTTAACGGAGACCAGTCTGGTAAAAGGGAAGCTCCTTCTCGGTGTAGCTTTTATTCGTCTGTCTATTCTTTCAGATTTCTCATCACCTTTGAATGCTAGAGGAAGGAAAACAAGCTTCTTCTCTACAGCTTGATGTTTTGGTCTCTGAATAAACTATTTTCCTTCTTCATGATGAATTTCTTCGGATATCCACTTTCCTTAACAGCCTTCTTAATTAAACAGAATTCTTCTTCTTGTTTATCTTAAGATCACAACGTTTTTATTCTAGGGAACAGTGTCCTGACTAAACGACGCTTATAGCTGACCTGACAGTAGTGATGGTACTGACCAATCCACATATCTTTTTCATGTGAGTACTTTTCTCAACTATACCACCACACCTTCATCTTACTTATACTTAGATGCAAAAATTCAGTCTATCTTTATTTTCGTGTTCCATTGCAAGTAAGTAAGTATTTGTATGGGCTTGATGAAAGGTGTCGAACAACTTTGACCCATGATTCATACTACCAAAAGTAATAAAACTATCATTGACGTACTTGCAGTAATATGTTGTTTCCTTGATTGCAGAGTTCAAACTTGTTCGCTCCAGATGAGCCGTGGATATATCACCTAGGATAGGTCCTGGTGGTGAACCCATAACCGTTTCATCAGTTTGCCAGTATAATTGATTATTAAACTAGAACTGAACACATTTTTTTACTGAGGAGTAGTAATTGTTTGAGTTCTGTTTTTGTCAAAGGGTAACAGATCAGACTGTTGACAGATCATATCTATCGTTCCATCCACCAGTATATCCGTAAACAATGAGGAAACATTAAATGACAACTGTTCCGTCCTAGTAAAGGACTGGTTAGCAGTATGCACCCATGACCGGGCTAAAGATCGAACTAAGGATCTTCGGGTTTTATGGTGAATGCGTTAACCATCCAGCCACTGAGGTCCGTTTTCAGTAGTTCACTGTTTCCAACTTTCATCAGTTGACGATATAACTCGACCATCGCCCAAGGTCTTCAGTTAGCATTCGCTTCCTTTCCGACTGATTGACCCCATAGGTCACGGCTTCTCATTAGAACTTTGTTTCTTTAAATAGTAGTCGTCTGTTTGTTGTAGCCCTGAAATGAATATTTTGATGACCCTCAGTTGAAGTTGTTGGCATTCCTATCTTTTAAGTAAATTGACCATTTTTCATAACTTTGTGTTAACAAACTTATTCCTCGCTGGAAACGGGGAGGCGAAATGACGCCAGTTGGTGAAAGCCTACCTTCGGAAAGCCAATTGGCCGATATTTTCTCGCTTCTCTCGATGAAAGCTAAAGTAAACTTGGGGACATGAAATGTCCGCATCATGTTTGAACCCAGCAAGGCAGCCCAGATTGCAAAAGAGATGAGAAGGCATCACATTGAAGTGCTTGAAATTTGCGAAAGCAGATGGAATGTGAGTGGAGTATCCAAACTGTCAACTGGAGAGGAGTCAATAATCTACTACGATATTGTCACCCAGACGACAACAATGAGCACACTGAGTTTTCGAGTGGCTATCATGATGTCCCCTCTCAACAACATCGAAGGCTCTCTCTCTCTCATGCAGTGGGAACCAATCCCCACAACGACCAGGATCATGACAGCAAGATGGATTCAACTGAAAAGGAAGGAAGGTCACAATCATACAATGCTACTCCATGCACCTACAAATAATGCAGAGCAAGAGAGAAAGGAGGAATTCTACAGATAACTTCAATCAACACCGGAAAAGATACCACTCAAGTTGGCGACGCCAAAATTCTAATGGGTGGGAGACATGAATGCCAAACTGGAAGGGGACAACACAGGAAGAGAATTGTGCATGGGTCGAGAAGCGCTCACTGAGGTGATGAACGAGAATGGAGAATTGTTTGCAGAATTCTGTGCATTCAACGATTTGTTGATTGGAGTCAGGCAGTGTGTTCAAGCACATGGATATCCACAAAGCGAGCGACATGGATTTCACCATTCACCAGACACCAGGACACACCAAAAATCAGATCGACTTTATCTGAATGTGAAGAAAGTGGAGACGCAGTCAGCCTACTGGACACAAGGTGAAGAAGAGGAGCAGATGTAGGTTCAGACCACTCACTGTCCAGTGCAAGGAACCTACCTTCCAAATCAAGTTTAAAGCCTTCAAGGAAGTTGGTGATAGACCGCAGTTCGAATACAACACTCGGAAACTGAAGGATGAAACTACAAAGTAAATCTTCACGTCAGCCATCCATCAAGACAAAATGGGAGATGTCGAGCAACATCCCTGAAGAAACGTGTGTGGATGAACACTGGAAGTCTTTGAAAGCTACTACAACTGAACATAAATCCTCCAACAAAAATGGAAGTTCGGAGTGCCATAAAGCTACTGAAACGTGGGAAAGCAGCAGGACGAGAAGATGGGATCCCGCCAGAAGCACTGAGAACAGACGCAGAGACAACAGTAGAGATGCTCACACCACACGACTATTGCAGAAGGTGTGGAAGGAAGGGAAGGTACCTGCCAGTTGATTGGAAGAAGGGTTACCTTATCAAACTGCTGAAGAAGGGAGACCTCATTGTTTTCAAGAACTGGCGTGGAATCACTCTCCTGTCCACCCAGAGCAAGCAAAATATGAAGCCGCATCAACCTGGAGAGGCTAAAGCATGCGTTGTATTCAAAGCTACGACCGGAACAGGCTGGCTGGCTGGCTTCAGGAAGTACACATCATGTGCAGACGAAATTGCAACACCACCCTACGCATCATGATAGAACAGAGTATAGAATGGCAGTCCAGTTAACTCTCTACCTCAACTTCATCGACTTTGAGAATGCTTTCCACAGCGTCGACCGAGAGGTAATTTGGCTGCTGCTTCAACACTACGGAATACCACAAACATTTATCAACCTAATTCAACAACTATATGAAGACACCACATGCCAAGTAATTCACAATGGGAAGCTCAGTGATGCTTTTGAAGTGAGGACAGGAAGGAGTGAAACAAGGTTGCCTACTATCACCCATGATATTCTTGACTGTGGTCGACTGGACTGGATCATGCAAGAGACAACTGTGATGATCGAGAAGAGGGGATATGCTGGCTGGACTGTGGAAAAGACGGTGGAAGATTTTGATTTCTCTGATGACTTGTGTCTGATGTCACACAAATTCGAAGAAGATCTGCAGGCGAAAACTAACAAGTTGACAGAAGAGGCAGCAAAGACGGGACTTCAAGTGAACGTAGAGAAGACAGAGGTGATGAAGATACCCAACCAAGAACTCCAACAACAACAACAACAAGCTGCAATCACCAGGAACGGGAGAAACTTAAAGGAAGTAGCCTCCTTCACCTGTGTGGGAAGCACTGTTTCAACTACAGGTGGCTGTGGCACAGACGAGGATGTCGAAGCCAGGATCGGAAACACAGCAAGACAGGCTTTCACAAATTTGAAACCAGTGTTGATATCTTCTGCACTCAGCATGCGGAACAAGATCCGGATTTTCAACACCAACGTCAAGTCAGTGCTTCTGTATGGCTCAGAGACTTGGCGCATCACGAAAGGGATTTCCAATAAACTACAGACATTCATCAACGGCTGCCACCTACGCTCACCCGATACTGAAGATCAGATGGACTGCCAGAAAGAATGAACAACAAGGAGCTCTGGGAACGAACCAACCAACAACCTATCGCTCAATAAATATGTAGAAGGAAGTGGAGATGGATTGTGTTGGGCATGCACTGAGAAAGCTGACTGGGGACATCACGTACCAGGTCAGGCCGTCGAGTGGAATCCCCATGGGAAGTGACGAGTTGAGCGTCGGTGCCGAGGGTGACATGGAGGAGATCATGCGAGGAGGAAATGAGAGTTTGTGGGCTGTCTTGGAGCCAGGTTGAAAAGATTTCGGAGAACAGATTTCACTGGAGACGTGCTACTGAATCCCTATGTTCCATTAGGAACCCAAGGGACTAATAATAAAAATAATAAAAACTTTTGTACAACTTCTGAAATAATAATGAAATTCAGTTAAATGTTTTTAATATATATGTATAGGTGTGATTAATCACACACTAACTATATCCTTTCATAAAATAATTTCTGATTACATTTCTATAAGTGAATATAAACTATTTCATAATGTGTAGCACTACGTTGTTTAAATTACCGGGCCTAAAGTGAATTGAAATCACGAGAATGAATCAATTGAAAAGTTAGCCTGTCTTCCAAATTATAATTGTACCGTTTAAATTCTTGTTTTTTCTTCTTAAGTACCAATGCAAGCAGAAATGTATATAAATAAATATTGAATTCGTAATTCAATTAAAAATGTGCATTATGCGGTTAGAAGTATTATTATTCACTTTGTGTGTCCAAAGAGTTGTATCAACTTTCAATAGTGAGTCTTTTTTCATTTTCTTCCTTCTAAAAGTATTCATTTCGAACTAGCGTTTAAATTATATCTGATATGCTTAGTCCGCAAATAATATTGATAAGTGGTTTTTTGATGTTTCTATAATAGTTCTACACTGACTTATTTACTTTTAGGTATTTGTTATCATCGAATGGATGAAGGTCCATGTAGAGCTATGATATCAAGATATTTTTACAACGTAAGTGCTCAGAAATGCATGGAGTTTAAATATGGAGGATGTGGAGGTAACAGAAATAATTTTGAGACACAGGAAAACTGTGAAACCACCTGCAGAAAAAGGTAGTCCTATTCAGTATGTTATTTATTTAAAACAGTATGATTTTCCTTCTACAAAGACAGTATAAGGACAGTGTCAAGATGCTCGTATTATTATTATTATTTGTCCCTTGGGTTCCCAGTGGAACAAACGGCTTCAGTAGCACATCTCCAATGCGCCCTGTTCTCTGAAATCTTTTGAACCTGGCTCCACGACTGCCCACAAGCTGTCATTTCTTCCTCACACCATTTCCCTCATGTCACCCTCGCTTCGCACAACCAACTCGTCGTTTACAATCTGGGATCCACTTGACGGCCTGACCGGGTGAGTGATGTCCCCAATCGGTCTTCTCAGTGTATGCCCAATCCAATCCATCTCCACTTCCTGCTACTGCATATTTGTTGAGTGATAGGTCGTTGGTTGGTTCGTTGTCAGGCCAGAGTTCCTTGTTGCTTATTCTCATTATTCTGGCCATCTGATGTTCAGTATCGAGGCAGAGTAGGTGGCAGTTGTTGATGAATATCTGTGGTTTGTTGGAAATGTTTTTTGTGACGAGCCAAGTCTCTGAATCATCACGTAGCAGCACTGACTGGACATTGATGTTGAAAGTCTGGATCTTGTTGTTTATGCTGAGTCCAGTCAGTCCAATCAGGAAGATCATGGGTGATAGTAGACAGCCTTGTTTCACTCCTGTCTTCACTTCAAAGGCATCACTGAGCTTCCCATTGTGAATCACTTGGCTGGCATGTGGCGTCTTCATATAGTTGTTGAATGAGGTTGATAAAAGTTTCTGGTATTCCGTAGTGTTGAAGCAGTTGCCTGTCAAATTACTTGTCAGTCGACGCTGTCGAAGGCCCTTTCAGAGTGGATAAAGTTAAGGTAAAGGGCTGACTGCTATAAGATGTTCGTAGATAATGTCAATGTCTAAGCCTATGCTTTTCACATTAAAAGTGGTGAATAATTCACACAGTCGCAAGATTGTAATCCAGTGTCTACCTGGTGCGCTTTTGAAAACGTTAACTATACAGTTAATTATTTGAAAACAATAATACCCGAAAAACTAATTTTTCTCACCTGTTATTAGTTGTATGTATTCTACCATTAGATAATACATACAAAAAGACTGAAATATAGTTGAATTAGTAGGGAGCTGTGGAAGTTGACAATTCAAGCTAATTTTATCAATGTATGATGATAACGGAATATTTGTCGACTATTTGTAGCTCACGGTGTGGGTATTCACACTTAGTTGTTCTTCGAGTCACGATTTTATTTGACAAGCGATTCATAATTGCGCTAGACATCTTCGTCAGTGCAACAGAGATTTATAACGATGACATGACATTGGAACACTTGGTAAATAAAACTATACCTCAGGGAACAATCTACTCTGAATACGATAACACTTTAAGACTATTTTTGTTATTATGTTGAATCGTAGATGTAGTTACAAAACAAATTTTGCTGGTTTTGTGAAAAAATTTCTTTTCGATATATACAGGAAGTTATAGTGTGATATACGATGAACACTTACAGAATATGTAAAATAAGATTCTATATACTACGTGAGTTTCAAACTGCGTAATACAAAAGGAATCGGTTTTTCATGGTTTAAACTGTGATTTATTTCTATCTTTTTCAGTGAATTATTTAACCGAAGTAAGTTTTAATCAGCCTATATATTTTACTTACTAACAGTCATGTTTCCTAAACTCTTAGTCATAGGAGACATGTTGCAATTAAACTACATTTTTCGATGAAAAGAATCTGTATGCATGCATCTTCTCAAAACACAATGATGATTGGTTGGCAAACATCAATGCAGAGTGTTGAGTTTACCTGTCCATACGAGTCAGCTAGCCAGATTCAATCGATCTGAACTAACTCAGCTATATCAGCTGAGTTTGTTTGATTGCATCACTGTTGAGCCTGCTCATAAATTAAAGAGATAGCCACCCAGTTTATAGGTCACTCTGAACCGCATGGCGAAATATACAGATCAACCTCAGTGGTTTCTAACTACTCAAGTTATTCAGTCACCAATAAATCTTACTAACTTATGACACTTTTGTCACAATGATCACATCTTGAGCCAACGGAAAACCCATTGACACCATAGTCGAGCAGCTGAAAGGTTAATCATCTATAAGGACTGCCAGTGTATACATTTCAGTTTGTGAATCATTTACAAAGTGAATGAAAACCGTTTTTGTGAACACATTTTACATTTGAGTAGTAGATTAGCAGTGGTTGTAACCATCAAATTTGTTTGACTAATCAGTACGATGATCTTTCAGAAGCAACTACTTCAAAAATATGTTTAAGCTTAGCTTGCCTATGTGAGGAACTGTCATGCCTCCGGCAACTGTTGATGTTCTATAAAGCTTTCTTGAATAACGTCAACTGGCATATGAGATATAAGGATCAACGTATTCCGCGAAAAAATTTCTTCTCTAAATGTCTCAGGTGTGAACAAATAACACAAATCAGTGTTAGTCCCCCTACAGTTCTTTGAACTTGGTTTCACTATTGTATGATAATTTTGCGTCACGAAACGCATTTCCAACAAACCACAGACATTCATCAACAACTGTCTACACAGGTTCGTTACTGAAGCTCAGATGGCCAGAACAATAAGAATGAGCAGCAAGGAATTCTAGATGGCAACAAACCAACCAAGATCCGATCGCCTAACAAATATGCAGTGGGAGAAAGTGGAGATGGATTGGGCATACACTGAGAAAACCGACTGGGGGCATCACTCACCTGGCCAGGCCGTCGAGTGGAACCTAGATGGGAAGCGACTAGTTGAGTGTCTGAGCTGAGGGTGACTTGGATGAGATCATGTGAGTGAGGAAGATATTAGAGCTTCTGGGCAGTGGTGGAGCCAGGTTGAGAAGATTGCAGAGGCTAGAGTGTAATGGATACGTGCTACTGAGTCCCTATGTTCCACTAGGAACCCGAGCGACAAATAATAATAGTAATTTTAATTAGATGTGTTACATTCTGAGATATCTGCGTGCTGCACACTGAAATGATTATTCATTATGATTCGCTTTTGAATTTTAGATGACTGTAAATTACCTAGTGAAACTGGTATATGCAGAGGTTATATCACACGTTACTACTATAATGTGGATACCAGTACGTGTGAAAAATTTATATATGGAGGCTGTCTGGGAAATGAAAATAATTTCGAGTCGCTTGAAGAATGTCAACTGAAATGTGAAATACAGTAAGTCTGATGCTCACCTTTGCGTAGGTTATAAAAAGGCTGTCACTAAGACTTGGGTATTTATTTCACACTTTGTCCGTTCTGTTTGTTTTCGTCGACAATTCACTCAATCCAGTACGAACTTCATAGTTATAACTTCTCAACCTTAACATGAGATAACTTTTTTAATTAGCTATATGAATAAGGATACCAGAAGTGTTGGATATTGGTAACACGGGGAAGAGATATTTGTCAAGCCTTAACATCAACCTGGTTACATAAAGCGCAATTTTATCCTAACAAGGGTTCTATACTAGCGTAACCGAATGAAACTGAATGTCGAAGAAGTCAAAGTGTGGTAAAAAATCTCTTCCTCAAACTAGGACTAAACAACGCTTAGGGTTGGCAAAACACTACATAAATATTCTTATGACATTCGAATATGCTTCAAGTTTTTTGAAGTATATCTGTCTGATGGATATAAAGAACTTATCCACACATATGTTATTTTCACTGAGTGTCCCTGAAGTGTTATTCCGTACAGTGGCAATTGGTGTCTAACTGCCTGAAATCGTCCTGAGTGACTATAGCTTGTAACGATCAGTTGTTGATTAGTTTTCGTCTAGGGTATAGATAAGTACGTCGTTGCAAGGGGCGCGCAGAGCAGTGTGTTTGGTGGTGGCCACGGGAATCTGGGAAATAAAAAAAGGACGAGAAGAAAGGTGAGACGACGACTCAGCAAGTACATAGGATGTACTGACAAACGGTAGAGCTAGGCAACGAAGAGGTGAGGCTAAACTCTAAGGTAAGTCAGTAAGATTTTAAATGCGCTACAATCTTTTAAAAAATGAGCAACATTCCAAATATTTAAAAAATACTTTTGATGAATTACTAGAATATCTGAATAGATACTGAACATTGATCATTTAATTTTAGGAGAGGGATATAGCAACTACGAAACACGAAAGTAGTTATTTTCCTAAACTAATTGCTTCATAAGTTTTTGTGGTGAAGTATTCCTCTGAAATTCCAAGGCTTTCAATTACTTAAAGTGTTTACTGATAAGCATTATATGACTCCCATCATAAAGCAGAGAAAATATCTTCTAATTATTGTTTTTGTGTCAACGGTATTGGCTTCATTACTGCAGACAAAAGGTTAAATCTCAGCAAAATACATTTTATTATTATTATTAGTCCCTTGGGTTCCTAATGGAACATACGGCTTCAGTAGCATGTCTCCAGTGAACTCTATTCTCCGAAATCTTTTGAACCTGGCTCCAAGACAGCACAGAAGTTCTCATTTCCTCCTCACACCATCTCCTCTATGTCACCCTCGGCACCGACGCCCAACTCGTCACTTCCCATGGGGATTCCACTCGAGGGACTGGCCTGAAGCGTGATGTCCCCAGTCGGCCTTCTGAGTGTATGCCCAATCCATCTCCACTTCCTGCTACTGCATATTTATTGAGCGATAGGTTGTTGGTTGGTTCGTTCCCAGATCTCCTTGTTGCTTCTTGTTGCAAAATACATTAAATGTTAAAAAATTATTTTGCTTGTAGTAAAGTATGAAATCTGTTAATTATTTGTGTATTTTAAAAATGATACTAAATCATTTCTGCATCAATTCCATATCACATAGCTTCAATTCTTTTACAGTCATTATTCGAGAACTGATCCCTCAGCCACAAAACCATGTGAGTTCAAAAATGTTTATCAATGAAGTTCTTTTTTACTCTATTGAAAACCAAAGATTTCCATAAAAGTATTACGGTAAAGTATAATTTAACTTTATGTATAGCACACAATTATTATATTATTATTAGTCCCTTGGGTTCCTAGTGGAACATAGGGCTTCAGTAGCATGCCTCCAGTGACCTCTGTTCTCTGAGATCTTTTGAACCTGGTTCCACGACAGCCCAGAAGCTCTCATTTCCTTCTCACACGACCTCCTCCATGTCACCCTCACCTCGGACGCCCAACTCGTCGCTTCCCATGGGGATTCCACTCGAGGGACTGGCCTGAAGCGTGATGTCCTCAGTCGGCCTTCTCAGTGCATGCCCAATCCATCTCCACTTCTTCCTGCATATTTGTTGCGTGATAGGTTGTTGGTTGGTTCGTTCTCAGAGCTCCTTGATGCTTATTCTTTCTGGCCATCTGATCTTCAGTAGCGAGCCAGCGTAAGCAGTTGTTGATGAATGTCTGTAGTTTATTGGAAATCCCTTTCGTGACGCGCCAAGTCTCTGAGCCATACAAGAGCACTGACTTGACGTTGGCGTTGAAAATTCGTATCTTGTTCCGCATGCTGAGTGCAGAAGATCTCCACACTGGTTTCAGGCTAATGAACGCCTGTCTTGCTGTGTTTCCGATTCTGACTTTGACATCCTCGTCCGTCCCGCCTGTAGTTGAAACAGTGTTTCCTAGATAAGTGAAGGAGGTTACTTCCTTCAAGTTTCTCCCGTTGACGGTGATTGGAGTTTGTTGTTGTTGTTGATGGTGGTGGTGAGGTATCTTCATCACTTCTGTCTTCTCTATATTCACCTGGAGTCCCGTCTTCGCTGCCTCTTCTAACAACTTGTTAGTTTTTGCCTGCAGATCTTCAAGTTTGTGTGACATTGTGTGTGTCATTGTGTGACATAGCACACAATGAACTGTATATAAAGAAAATTTCAAAGTCCTACATTCACTGTGATATAGATATGAATAATAAATCTTACATGAAAAGTCATCCAGTAAATTATACTATGTCACCATGTACTATATCAGATAAACATTCTACTTATGAAACTGTTTTTCTGTTCACTTTATATTCTTCTTATTTTGTGTTTATTGTTGAATTCTGAAATATAATAGAAGTGATCTGTAGCTCAGGATGAATATGATGGTGGTTGGCTTTTTCTCAACTTAAATATTTTCTAAGCATTAAACAATCGTCATACTTTAAATTCTAATAATTTCCTGATTTATGTGATCCTCTTGAATAGTCCCGGATTTTCAACACCAACGTCAAGTCAGTGCTTCTATATGGTTCAGAGACTTGGCGCATCACGAAAGGGATTTCCAATAAACTACAGATATTCATCAACAACTGCTTACGCTCGCTACTGAAGATCAGATGGATTGCCAGAAAGAATAAACAACAAGGAGCTCTGGGAACGAACCAACCAACAACCTATCGCTCAATAAATATGTAGAAGGAAGTGGAGATGGATTGTGTTGGGCATACACTGAGAAAGCTGACTGGGGACATCACGTACCAGGTCAGGCCGTCGAGTGGAATCCCCATGGGAAGTGACGAGTTGCGCGTGGGTGCCGAGGGTGACATGGAGGAGGTCGTGCGAGGATTGAATGAGAGTTTGTGGGCTGTCTTGGAGTCAGGTTGAAAAGATTTCGGAGAACAGATTTCACTGGAGACGTGCTACTGAATCCCTATGTTCCATTAGGAACCCAAGGGACTAATAATAATAATAATCTTGAATAGTCGATCAAATATTGGTTCAATTTGTTAATGTTTTGTTAAGACAATACAGTACTTGTATAGATATATGAAAGTGTACGTATCATGTCATTTATCATTTTATGTTGAAATCTTTTCAATAATTAAATATTACTCTAAATTACCGGCGAAATATTCAAGATAGTTGAAATAAAATTCAACGTCAGATTGATGGGAAGCTCAATAGTAAAACAATCGACTATGAAGCACAGTCGACGACCTGGTTGTATTTTGGGCTAATAAATTTATCCATCGAATATTTTTCATTGGCATCACTTTAATCATTTTCGAGTCAATAATAAAGTAGGGAAAAGCTGTTACATTATGTGAAAATAGAATTTTCGATTCACAAAGGTACATCAAATATTCTATCCGTCAGATGCTTAGCTTGAATTACAGATTTTTGCACCGTTTGAATGAATAATCACCATGAAAATTACGTTCACATTCCTGTTGATTCTTCATTATGGACTGGATGACCATCCAGAACCAACTAGGTATTTCATAGTATTGCCTTGAATACTGTTATTATTAACATCATTCCAATGGAATAACTGTTTCAGTTTGAAAGTATTGTTCCAGGAGTGAATTTGTTGAAAAATTACATGCTGAGAATTCCACATTGTCATACATATTGTTTGGAATCAAGAGATTATTATTATTATTATTATTATTATTAGGTTGTGGTTATTCAATGAATTCCTTTCTCATTTTATTACTTTGAGATATCATATTTCATAAAGTCATCGTCTCCATTTTCTTTCTTCTCATCGCACATGGATTTCAGTTTTTCATGAATTGGAGTAGCAGTGGAAGTTATCTGCTTAGTTATCTCCATCAACTATGATGTTATTTATTACAAGAAGGTATAACACTTCCTATAACAATCTTATTTGTTAGCAAATTAGTCCATTTTTACTTTCCATTAGACTACACTGAATAACTTCATGTAGCTTTATGTTCAATTTCTGGTCTTCGTTTCATTTCAGGCACAACAACTGTCAAACCGCGCACAACACCTACATCTACCACTATGTCAGGTACTGTCAACTGAGCAACTCGTAGGTGATAGTGACAATATTTCACGGATATTTTGCTTGTTTTTAATATGATGAATTCTGATGAAAGTATCTGGTGATGCTGATCTCACTTCGTGGTTGGAAAAATGACCATCTATTTCCATAGTTACAGGAATTCTGTTCAACGGTGATTCAGAGGTTTACCTTAATTAGAAGTGTTCTCATTGACACAAACATCTAAAGATTAACTTCCTATGAATAAAGTCAGGGTATCATACTTGATATAGTGTTGTTGAATATTGTTCGCTGTGGAATAATTATTCCACCTTTTTGTAACAGTTTTGATCAGTGCTGACGGTTATTTGCAATACTTTGTTTTCAAAGTGGAACACCTTGACAAAGAATATCTGGCTGTCATTTTTGAATATAGTCAAAACTGACTGATGGATATTCACAGGAAACGCTTTGAAATTTTGACAGTGTATGAAAAATGCAGAAAACTTACAAGTTATAAAATGAAAACAGTGATTTCTAAATCGGTAGGTGCATACAGGGGAAGATAAACATTCGTCGTGCTTAAAAACTAAAGCTGCATGTAGTTCCGGATGCATAGATTTAAGACTGAAATTAGAAAAAGGACTCAGTTTGTCTAATTGCTGGTTTTTTGTAGACGTTAAACCTCACAGAAATGGCCTAAATGATGCATTAGATTTACCATCACGTATTGACGAACTCTTTTTTTCATTGATGTTAGCGAATTTCCAAGTAGTTTGTAGTGTGTTCATTTTCTAGACAAATTGAGAATTGCTTGTATGACACCGTCGTTGATTGGATCTAATTGATCAGTCACTGTTGGCATATGGGCTTCTGTGTGGATGCCTCGATATTGCCTGTATCCTAATTATGAATAGTAATGATGGCAGTGGTTAGCAGTAGAATCCAGGATGCGCATTCCGTTCTATTTGGGACTCGTCAGGTGGATGTACCTGCCTCCTGGTAAGTGATGTTGTTCCCACTGGGACTCGGACTCGGGAGCGATATCTTCGAATGCAAGAGCGTTATCCACTACACCATCGAGCCACTATAACACTCTGGCGTTTGAAGTGATCTCTCTTAAGTCGGAGTCCCGGTGGGAACAACATCACTCACCAGGAGGCAGATACATCCAGCTGACGAGTCTCAAACAGAAAGGAATGCGCATCCTGGATTCCACTGCTAGCCACTGCCCATCATTAAAATCAAACTAGTTTACGAAATACATGGTCTGTAGTGAGAAGGAAGTCTTATAGTCGTTTTCTATTACAACCAAAATATTCAGACAACTTAGCGTGATCTGCTCGGCAGCACAACTGAAATGAAGATGGTGAGTATAAATTCACGTGTGTCTTCGCAACCGTCTAATGTCATCCAGATATGACCAGCTGACACCAGTAGATAACTGAGTTTCAAGAATTTATCTGTCTTCGATGAAATAATCTGACTGTACCGTTGATGATCTTTGGTTCAAAACAGAGGAATATCTGACAATGTTTAAGTCAACTTATGCTACATTAGCGAACATTCCTGATCAGCATGAATGATGTAGAACTACTCATGTTATTTCAGTAGTATAGTGTGTCTAAACCAACAATTTATTGTGCACTCGTGAGAATTAATCGTTTTCAAGTCTCATTGTTGATGTTAAAATATAATATTTTTTAAAAAGAATTATTTTATCGAAAACTTCCTTTTTTAATACTTTTAGGTGGAGGAAGTCGAAGTGATCCAAAACGAAAAACAACTATTAGTACATCAGTAAAGATATTTTTGGGTCTTCTTCAAATGAAAGAAAAACTAAAGGATCTATTTAACAGAATGGGATGAAGATATTTGAGTTGCATCACTTTAAATGAAGTTTTCTTATTGAATATAGCTAACTCTTTGTTGAAATTCCCTACAAAACAGGCGTTTGAATGTCAAATGTTTTCAGACTCATGTTATATCTCCTTTCTAATGATCAAAAATAAATTACAACGTTACATATCATCTTCTTGATATTCATAGGTGAAGTTTATACTTTACCATCGAAGGAGGAATTTCAGAGTGAATGATATCTGTAATATAGATGAAAACTAGGTTGGTGTGATAGAATGAAAATCCAAATGCACACGGATGATCAGAGTATTACTTATTTGATGAAGTTGCAAGCATAAATTATTGCTCGTAATCATATCAAGATAATCACAAAAAATTCGATATCTAAACATTTCGATAACTTCTGCATACATACATACTGATTAAGAATACTCTGAATTCAGTGCTCTACAAAAGCTGATGTCAGAGCGACGTTCAATGGCTGTTTATTTAACCTGAGATAATGCTTATAACCCATTGACGCCTAGAAACTGAGGTCAACCCTGAGTACAAGAAAAGCATAGGTTTAATCTTGATCAAATGCAATCTGTTCTTCACTTCTTCCATCTACGCTTGGATGACTTACTACCTTTCATTTGAAATATATTGCTTATATTCTCTTTAATTAACTGCTGCTTCTACTCAGCCGAAGATAACCTGTCAAATAATGGTGACGTCAATTTCATTTGTGAATGACGTTTCAAGTGATGTATTCTAACGTGTGAAGAGCGAAAGATACAAAAGCTGTACGAGTTTCTGTTATCATCATCATACAGGAGAAACCATCAAGTTGAAAGCCTTCAAGGAAGTTGGTGATAGACCACAGTTCAAGTACAACACTCGGAAACTGAAGGATGAAACTACAAAGGAAATCTTCACGGCAGCCATCCATCAAGACAAAATGGGAGATATCGAGGAACATCCTGAAGAAACCTGTGTTGAGAACACTGGAAGTCTTTGAAAAGACAATTCAATAAAGAGAATTTTCTTGACCTACCATTTCCAGAAGCAGTACATCCCTGTTTATACTCACAACACAAAGATATGTTTATTAGCGGTTAATGGATCTATCCAATTTCATTAAAAAGGGTTTACGAGATTACAAATCAGTGACTGTAAGTCAATAAAATGAAATTCGAAAGTGATCTATGAAGTAATAATGTAGATAAACACGGTAAGGGATGCGGTGAAATTCATTGTTTTGATAAGTAACATAAAATATTAGGGAGTTTATGACCAGAGTAAAATTAGAGATTGAACGTATCTCTTCTGAACGCAGAGGTCAGGCATTATCTAATGAATTGGCAAGGTTTATGGTGTTTTCAGATGACGAATACGCATTTCCTTTGAAGGGTTTACTTTGAATTTATAAATGAATTTGAAAGGAGATTCAGGTGGAGCAAACTGACTAGATTTAATCAAATGTACAAGAATAGAGTTGTTAATTTCTTTACACTCTCCTTTAGACAATCATGCACAATAGTGTTTGGAGATGAGTTTGGATTGAACACATGGTCTATGTGACCAGCTGCAGAAGAGCAGATGAATCGCTGAACAAACATGGAGGTCACTTAGAGTGGTAGTTTGTCATTTACGCAACCTGAAATCAGTTGGTGATAGGAAAAAACAAGCTTGGGCGAAGAACTTCTTCTCTACGGCTTTATTCAGTCAATTTTTGTTGGTATTTGCTATGGTATCTCATCATTAATAATGTGTTCTCTAAAACTTCAGGGGCTCCTTTACCGGAAGTACTTAGGCTAAATGTTCACCTCAGTGAATAGTGTTTGAAGTGCTTTCAGCTCCTCAGATACTACATCACCCGTATAAAACTTCGTAATTATTGCGCATAGGAGTGAATTAGCTTCGTATTCTTGTCTGGTGGGACTCAGTTTTAAAAATTGCGTAAATGTTCATGAGAGGTTCAATTCTTGTAAGTCAGTCTTCCTAGGGAATCATTACATTCAGGAAGTGGAATTCTTGCTTATTTTCACTTACTTTGGTAAACTTAACCTCGCCTGGTTAACTAGTTCACTAGTTACTAGCCGGTCCTAAGCCCTGGTAAACAGGGAAGCTTGGGCATAGGGCTAGCAACTCTACCCCGTAAAAAAAATCTAACCGTTAATGAAACTTCAAAGCACAAACAAGATATAAAACATAAAAACAAAATTATTCCTCTCTGGAATCGGAGAGGTGAAATGGCGCCAGTTGGTGAAAGCCTACCTTCGGAAAGCCAATTGGACGATGTGTCTTCTCTCTCTGGATGAAAGCCAAAATAAACGTGGGGATATGGAATGTCCGCATCATGTTTGAATCCAGCAAGGCAGCCCAAATTGCAAAAGAGATGAGGAGATATGGAATTGAAGTGCTTGAAATTTGCGAAAGCAGATGGAATGTGAGTGGAGTATCCAAACTGTCAACTGGAGAAGAGTCAATAATCTACTCCGATATTGTCACCCAGACGACAACCACAAGCACACTGAGTTTTCGAGTGGCTATCATGATGTCCCCTCCAACAACATCGAAGGCTCTCTCTCTCATGCAGTGGGAACCAATCCCCACAACGACCAGGATCATGACAGCAAGATGGATTCAACTGAAAAGGAAGGAGAGTCACAATCATACAATGCTACTCCATGCACCTACAAATAATGCAGAGCAAGAGAGAAAGGAGGAATTCTACAGACAGCTTCAGTCAACACTGGACAAGATACCACTCAAGTTGGCGATATCAAAATTCTAATGGGTGGAGTGACATGAATGCCAAACTGGGAGGGGACAACACAGGAAGAGAACTGTGCATGGGTCGAGAAGCGCTCACTGAGGTGATGAACGAGAATGGAGAATTGTTTGCAGAATTCTTTGCATTCAACGATTTGGTATTTGGAGTCAGGCAGTGTGTTCAAGCACAAGGATATCCACAAAGCGAGCAACATGGATTTCACCATTCACCAGACACCAGGACACACCAAAAATCAGATGGACTTTATCTGAATGTGAAGAAAGTGGAGACGCAGTCAGCCTACTGGACACAAGGTGAAGAAGAGGAGCAGATGTAGGTTCAGACCACTCACTGTCCAGTGCAAGGAACCTACATTCAAAATCAAGTTGAAAGCCTTCAAGGAAGTTGGTGATAGACCACAGTTCAAGTACAACACTCGGAAACTGAAGGATGAAACTACAAAGGAAATCTTCACGGCAGCCATCCATCAAGACAAAATGGGAGATATCGAGGAACATCTCTGAAGAAACCTGTGTTGAGAACACTGGAAGTCTTTGAAAGCTATGTGGAAAGAAACCTGCATAACCGTATTAGGAAGGAAGAAGAGAGAAGATAAGGAATGGATCTCGACGGATACCTGGAAGCTGATAGAGGAGGGAGAGGAGGATGTTGAAGCAGAAGATAAACCAGTGAAAGGATGAACGACGAGAAGACGGACTGAATACAATGCATGAAACACAACACTGGACAGAGGAGTGAAGAAGAGTGCACGCAAACACAAAAGACACTTCTATGACACATTGACAAGTGAAGCAGAACAGGCTGCCTCAGGTGGAAGAAACAGAGACCTGACAACATTGTATCAAATAACCAGGTTACTGTCTGGGATGGGAGAGATTGACACAGACGAAACCAATAAAAGATGATGACGGAAATTTAATTACGAAAGAAGAGAAACAAATGAAACGATGGGCTGGCCGACCACGTCAAGAAGCTCTTGAATCGACCATCACCACCACCTGCACTTCGTCCAGATATACCACCTGCAGCCCAGCCACAGAACTACAAGTGAACATAAATCCTCCAACAAAAGTCAAATTCCTGAGTGCCACAAAGCTACTGAAATGTGGGAAAGCAGCAGGACCAGATGGGATCCCGCCAGAAGCACACTCAGAGACAACAGCGGATATGCTCACACCACACCACTATTGCAGAGGGTGTGTAAGGAAGGGAAGGTACCTGCCAGTTGATTGGAAGAAGGGTTACCTTGTCAAACTGCCGAAGAAGGGAGACCTCAGTGTTTGTAAGAACTGGCGTGGAATCACTCTCCTGTCCACCCAGAGCGAGCAAAATATGAAGCCGCATCATCCTGGAGAGGCTTAAGGATGCACTGGATTCAAAACTACTACCGGAACAGGCTGGCTGGCTTCAGGAAGTACAAATCATGTGCAGACCAAATTGCAACGCTACACTACGCATCATCATAGAACAGAGCATAGAATGGCAGTCCAGTTATCTCTCTACCTCAAATACATCGACTTCGAGAAGACCTCTGACATCGTCAACCGATAAGTAATTTGGAAGCTGCTTCATAACTACGGAATACCGCAAACCTTTATCCGCTTCATTCAACAACTATATGAAGATGCCACATGCCAGCCAAGTAATTCACAATGGGAAGCTCAGTGATGCTTTTGAAGTGAAGACAGGAATGAGTGAAACAAGGTTGCCTACTATCACCCATGATGTTCCTGACTGTGGTTGACTGAACTGAATCATGCAGCAAACAGTGTTGAGCTGTGAGAAGAGGGGGATACGCTGGCTGGACTGTGGAAAATAACCTAGAAAATTTTGATTTCGCTGATGACTTGTGTCTGATGTCACACAAACTCGAAGAAGATGTACAGGCGAAAACTAACAAGTTGACAGAAGATGTGAGGCGAGGCAGCGAAGACGGGACTTCAAGTGAATGTAGAGAAGACAGAGGTGATGAAGATACCTAACCAACACCACCACCACCGACAGCAACAACAGGAAGCTCCAATTACCATGAACGGGAGAAACTTGAAGGAAGTAGTCTCTTTCACCTACCTAGGAAGCACTATTTCAACTACACGCGGTGGCACAGACGGGGACGTCAAAGTCAGGATCGGAAAGACAGCAAGGCAGGCGTTCATTAGCCTAAAACCAGTGTGGTGATCTTCTGCACTCAGCATAAAGAACAAAATCAGGATTTTCAACACCATATGGT